TGGGGCTGCTGCTGCTGCTGCCGCTGCTGCTGCTGTTGCTATTGCTGCTTCCCCCATAACACACAGCCTCGTAAGAATGTCCCAAGTTCCTCAACCTGTTCAATTCCGGTAGTATAACTGTCGCAAGATCAGGGCGATCCTTTCTCCTCAATTCAGCACACTTCAGTGCCATCTTTGCATACGAAAGAGCATCCTCCACTGGCCAGTCCTTCACTGACTGATCAAGCATTTCCTTGAACTGGCCTCTCTCTATTGACCTCTCAACATGGTGTGTTAAGCCCATTGCAGGTTTCGCAGTGATAATTTGCAGCAGCATAATACCCAACGAGTATATGTCTGATTTTGTCCCTAACATACCTGTCTGTTGGTACTCAGGATCAATATAACAGAACGTGCCAGCAGTAGACGTCATTCTGTATTGAGTAACAGTGTCTACTACGGACGGAGGGACTAATCGTGCGAGACCTACGTCACTGATCTTGCTCGTGTAGTTTCGGTCGAGGAGGATGTTTGCTGGTTTTAGATCACGGTGGACTAACGGTTCGGGCTTGGTTTGGTGGAGAAAGAGGAGGCCGGTGGCAATCTCTGCAGCGATCTTGAAGCGGACGCTCCATGGGATTGTTGGAGTGTTTCCACGGCGGAAGAGCCTGTCTTCTAGACTACCGTATTCCATGTGTTCATATACAAGGCATCCGTATTCTGGGCATGCGCCGAGGAGCAATACCATGTTTGGATGGCGAATGCAGCTAAGTACCTCAATCTGTACATGATTTGCAGCACGCCTTTTATGTAATTAATGGAGAATGAAGTTGTGGAGAGACATAAAAATCAAGGTTACTAAATAACAAAATAAAAATAAAAATTCAAATATCCAGTCAAAAATGTCTGGATGTTACTCGTGAGTTATAGTGTACTTACTAGTCAAGACCTATGTTGCATGGAAACAGGTATCAGACACGCAAATTCGTAAAATGTTGGTTATAAGGACTTGTCTACATATACGTACATACATACATAAATAAAGATTATTGAAATTAATAATTTACATGAGATCAATGCATATATTAAGAGAAGCCTCATTTTTGGTTTGTGTGTGCCACATTTTTAGAATGTCAAAAATGTTCCCACACATAGAAAATACTAAGGAAATGCTCACACTTGGACAAAAACTACAGATATGCCATAGGACTCGGAAAAAAACATGCAAATCCCTCATGCTCAGGGAGAAAAAAAATCTAATTGACCATTCATTCATTAACGATTCAACTATGACACTTGCGTATCTTCTCTGTAATGCATGCATCACATTCATACTAGTTAACGAGGAGATGACCCAAAATACAACGGAATAGATTAATAAGAATCATGTCGCTGATCCCAAAAATTTGGGGTAAACGATTTGTTGTTGTTGCTGCTGTTGTTGCTGTGTTGTACATCTTCTCATTTCACAAGTTATGAGAATTGAAACTCCTATCAATAAATTGAAAAATTCCTCGTTTTTGGACTAGATACCCAAATAACTCTGGTAATGACTGAAACAAACCTAACCCGCATTCATCGAATTTCATGAAGTAGATGTGAATTGAAGCATATATATCCATGAAGTGTATGTGGAGTTCTTAAAATTAAAACATATATTATATAATTTAGTACACACATGTGAATACATGTATGTGTATGTATGTGTATGTTCAAAGAGTATCCAAGGAGTGCCGGTTTCTGGTACAAGTATGACATATGTCAGGTTTGGGTGAAACTTCATGATAAAAGTACCCACATAACATACGTGAAAATGTATTTAGAAAACCTGAGGCCTGATAGTTTGGATAAGTTGTGAACTATATTATTTATTGGAGGATTCTGAAAGCCACCTATATGGTTAAGGTATTTGTGTTTATGATACAGTAGCCCAATTGGTTGGTTTGGAAGTGACATGTAGATATATGGAACCGTAGTAATATCAGAATCTTAAAAGCTGGTTTGTATTAAGAAATAATGTTAGTTCAATATACAACACTAGATTGTAATCTAATCATTTAAACGTTGGGGATGTTGTGCGCAGCGGAATCGAAGACACACAATTACAAACGAGGTTGGAACACTAATCAACAAACAGAAATAAGTATCACAAATGCAAGATAACAAATTTACGTGGTTCGGCAAATTTGCCTACGTCCACGGGAGCGGTACAAATAATTTCTTATTAATCACAAGAAATTACAAACAAAAGAGAAGATCTCAAACTTGAGATCTCTCAATCAAACAACAGGTGATTTTAATAAAAAATCACCACTCAAACTCTCTCTCTCTCTCATAATTACTTAACTTTCCCCAATTTATTTCACCAACCCTCTTCTCCTTAATAATGAGAACAAGGAAAAATTTGGGGCTAAAATCGGAGAGAGACGAAGAGAACTGACGCCAAGAATTCCTAGCTCAGCTTTCTACTCGCGCTCAAGCTCCAGCCGCTCCAAGGCTGCTCGTGAATGAAATTTCCTTTTTATTAGGAAACCCTAGATCTCCGATCCAGCTGTCTTCAGCTGGCATCCACCCACAGGCGAGCTTCACGCCAGCTGTCTTCCACCACGTCAAATCAGGCGAGCTTCGAATCAGGCGAGGTCCCGTCCATGCAGGCGAGCTGCGTTCTCTACAGGCGAGCTTTCTCGCCACTCCCTCGCCATCAGGCGAGCTCGTCCTCGCCTCTGTCAAGCGAACTCGTCGCCCTCGCCTACAGGCGAGGTCAGCTCCTCACCCGCAGGCGAGCTCCGATCTCAGGTTCGTTCTTCTATAAATCTCCACCTCGGCGAAGTTTTACCAAAACTGAGCCGACACCAATACCAACCAAACGTCTCACTTGTTGCGTCCAGTACGAAATGGAATAAAACCACGACAACAGACTCAATCCATAACAAGTCGAGACCCAAACGAGAATGCGAACACTCTCCAAATATCGGTATCAACTCACTAAATCGGCTGCATCATAAATAACTGCCTACGTATCCTCTTGCCTAAGGAATCAAGCCTTCACGTAGTTCCCCAATGGCCTCCAAAGACCCTCAACAATGAAGAATGTTCAACAATTTCAAACAATGATCAAATTTCACCCCAGTGACAACTTTGGTCAACATATCTGTCGGATTTTCCTTTGTGTGGATCTTCTCCAATCTAACGTCTCCATCATCCAAGACGTGTCGAACAAAATGGAATCTGACATCAATGTGCTTTGTTCGGACATGATACACCTGGTTTTTGGTCAAATAGATAGCTGACATGCTATCACAATTTACCCTGATGGTATCCTGTACAATCCCTAAGTCATCCAATAACCCTTGCAACCACAAAGTTTCTTTCACAGCTTCAGTCAACGTCATATACTTCGCCTTCGTAGTAGAGAGAGCCACTGTAGACTGAAGTGTACATCTTCAACACACCGGAGCTCCTGCTAGTGTAAACACGTATCCAGTAGTAGACCGATGCTTGTCAAGATCCCCCGTATAATCAGAATCCGCATAACCAATACAATCCTGCCCATTCTTCCTATTCTTCTCAAACACCAAACCAACATTCATGGTACCTTCGATATGTCGTAGAATCCACTTCACGGCCTCCCAATGACCATTCCCAGGGTCGTACATGTACCTAGATACCATGCTCACGGCCTGTGATAAATCTGACCTTGTACACACCATTATATACATCAAGCTACCCACATCATTGACATATGGAACTTCAGACATGTATTCACGGTCCTCAACTGAAACAAGTGACATTTTAGCTGATAGCTTAAAGTGGGGAGCTAATGGAGTACTCATCGTCTTGGCATTGTCATCACAACTGAATTTCTTCAGCATCTTTTGCAAGTAGCTCATCTGTGTCAACTTTAACCTCCCTTTGATCTTATCTCTCTCAATTTTCATACCCAATATCTTCTTTTCTTCTCCAAGGTCCTTCATCTCAAATTCAGATTACAATTCCTTTTTCAACTTCCTAATAGCTGAAGAGTTTCTGAAAGCAATGGTCATATCGTCAACATATAACAATAAATAAATATGCTCACCATTCTATAGCTTATGCATGTACACATACGGATCATATGGGCTCCTCGTGTACCCTTGGCCGATCATGAAACTGTTAAATCTCTTGTACCATTGTCGCGGTGATTGCTTCAATCCATAAAGAGATTTCTTCAGTTTACATATCAAATCATCCTTTCCTGTAGTTCTAAAACCCATCGGTTGTGTCATATAGATCTCCTCTTCTAAGTCTCCATGTAGAAAGACTATTTTCACATCTATCTGGACCAAATCCAAATCCAGCTGTACCACCAATGCTAATAGTATCCTTATCAACGAATGTTTCACGACCGGTGAGAATACTTCATTATAATCTATGCCCTGAAGCTAGGCATACCATTTGACAACCAATCTGGCTTTGTACCTAATGTCCCCAATGGAAGATCCTTCTTTCTTCGTATATACCCACTTGCATCCAATAGCCTTCTTACCCTTTGGTAGCTTTACAAGTTTTCAAGTATCGTTCTTCTGAAGAGAGTGCATCTCTTCCTCCATAGCTTCCCTCCACCTGATTGAATCAGAGCTTGACATCGTTCTTCTGAAGAGAGTGCATCTCTTCCTCCATAGCTTCCCTCCACCTGATTGAATCAGAGCTTGACTCTGCTTCCTTATATGTAGAAGGAACCCCTCCACCTGATTGAATCAGAGCTTGACTCTGCTTCCTTATATGTAGAAGGAACCAAATCATCAACGATCTCAACTGATAAAGCATATACAACCATCACATCGTCATATCTAGCTGGCCGACGAATGTTTCTTCTAGGTCTATTAGCTGCAATGGACTCCTGAACATGACCCTGTTCCTGAGTCCTAATGTCCACAGTATCCCCCCCTGCCCATTTGTCTTATCATCTCCTCCCAGTGTCACATCTGTAGGAACCTCAATAGATACAGTGTTATCTGAAGTCCGTGGAGTCACATCATCCTCCACCTACTGTGATACCCCACTAGTCTGGTCTTCCTCCACCTGCTGAGGAATCTGAGACCTCATCATGTGAGCCTCATCAAACGTGACATCTCTGCTAATGATGATCTTCTTATCTTGTGGATCTCACAACTTGAAGCCTTTAACTGCATCTCTAAAGCCCACGAAGATTGTTTTTCTAGCTCTCGGATTCAATTTCTCATCATTCACATGATAGTAAGCTGGACACCCGAATATCCGGAGCAACTTATAATCACTAGCCACTGAACCAGATCATTTTTTTATAGGAGTCTTTCCATGTATCGCTGTGCACGACAACTTATTCACGAGATGACTTGCATAAACCAACGCTTCGGCCCAAAATGATCTAGCCAATCCACTCTGTGAGAGCATACAACGCACCTTCTCCAGCAAGGTACGGTTCAATCTCTCAGCCATCCTATTTTGTTACGGTGTCTCCCTGACTGTGAAGTGTCGCCTAATACCGTGATCCTAGCAAAACTATAGAAATGGATCTCTCTTGTACTCTCTACCATTGTCCGAACGGAATACCTTCACCTTTCTACCTGTCTGCAGCTCCACTTTCTTCTTCCGCTCTACAAATATATCCAGGACCTCATGTTTATGCTTCATGGAGTATATCTAATTTTTCCTGGAATAATCATCAATGAAAGTGATAAAATAATTGGCCCCATCAAGAAATGTGTTCTTGGAAGGATCCCAAACATCTGTGTGAATGTAATCCAATATACCTTGGGTGTTATGAATTGCGATGCCGAATTTCACTTTCGTCTTCTTCTCAAGTATGTAATGTTCACATAATTTCATCTTGCAGGTCTTTGCACCATTCAATAGCCTCTCTTTCACCAATACTTGCAGAGACTTATCACCAGTGTGTCCCAATCTTATGTGCCATAAGTTGGTAGTATATTGCTCTGTGGTAATAGAAGCTGCCAGACCCCCTGTTACTGTCTTGCCCTTCAAGTAGTAATGTTGTTTTTTCTAACACCTCGCATCACTACCATGGACCCCTTTGTGTTCTTCAGAATTGTATTCTCCAATATCACCCTATAGCCTGTTGCTTTTAAAGTTCAAGTGAAATAATATTCTTCGTCAATTGAGAAACAAATCTCACTTCCTTCAACTCCCTAGTCATCCCGTCACACATTCTAATTCGAACTGTTCCAATACCACCAATGTTACATTAAACGCTAGGCGCTTCTAGGCGTCGGACTTGGCGTCCAGCGCTTAGTCGCCTAGGCGGGCGCCTAAACGGTTTCTGAGCGTTTTCTTTCTTTCTTCATTTAAGTGGTGGTCGATGAGGTTTTGCTGAAGGTCGGAGGAGGTAGTGGAGGTGTTCATATTTAGAGGTTAATGGAGTTTGGAGGACGTATAGGCTACGACACATAAAATCATAATCAATGCCTACATGGTGCAATCCACGTAAGCAGACAATGCTCCCCTTAACGCTCGTAAAATCTAGGTGGACAGCCTAAATACCGCCTAAACGCTAGGCGCCAGTTAGGCGACCTAGGTACCGCCTAGGCCTAGGCGTACGCCTAAGCGGACTAGGCGGAGATTTTTTAAAACAGTGAATACCACCAATAGGGCATACGTGATCACTACCCATGAGCACGACATCCCCTCTTTCTAGCTCCTCAAAGCTGGAGAACCAATCCCTTCTAGGGCAAATATGGTATGTAATACCCGAATCCAATATCCACTCCGTAGAGTCGGCATAACAAACTAACGGTAATGCTGGACATGAGTAGCCTAAAGAATCTGAATCTGAATTGTCGCCACTAGCTTTGGCAACATTCACCTCTGAAGTCTGTACAGCTTTTCCCTTATTCTTCCTGATTCTATCTCTCAACTTTGGGCATTCATTCTTTCAATGTCCATCCTCTTTGTAAAAAACACATTGATTCCTACCAACACTCTTATGGTCACCTCTATGCTTCGACTTTGAGCGGTTAAACGGACGGCAGTTTAGACTACGACCTCTCACTGCCAATGCATCTCTCGATGCCTTCTCGGAGGGTTCACTATCACTCTTCCTCAACTCATAGTTCATCAATGCTGAGGTCACCTCCTTATAGCTGATAATGATTCTACCATTGATCATCGTAAGGACAAATGTACCAAAATCAACCTCTGACAATGAACATAGCAACAACATCGCCTTATCTTCATCCTCTACCATGATATCCACATTGGCCATATCCAATAGCAATTTTGTGAAATTATTGACATGTTCTCTAATGGAAACTCCCCTTTTTATTTTGAATTGGTAAAACCTTTTCTTCAAATGAAGCCAATTCTCATTGCTCTTCGTCAAATACTTCTCATTGAGTGTTTCCCATAATCGCTTCGCCAATATCTCGTTCATCACATCATAGATCAAATCCGACGTCAAACATGATCGAATAACCCTACATGCTCTACTAGTTATTTTCTTCCAAACCTTATCCTCCATATCTTCGGGTTTCTCTTGTAATTCAA